GAAAGGAGTAAAAATGATTCGATGCAGAGGGCTGGGGATTTTAAATGGGAGGTTGGAGGGAGGCAGCCACCAAGGCAGCTGTGCTTGTGACTCGTGCTTAGCAGGAGAGGGGCGCCTTTGTGAGGGGAACTGGTACCCTCAGGGACAACTGTTTTAATCAGGGCAAGAAGATAAAGGAGCCGTCAAAGCCCAGGTTGAGCTCACCAGGGGTTTTTGCTACATGATGCATCTGAGATCCCACGGGCATGGGAGACAGTTTGGGTGGGAAGAATGATGGGGGTGGGGGTAGGGGTAGGGGTGGGGGTTGGGCAGAAGACTGATTCAAATTAAAGGATGCCCAGAGCAGGATGCGTTAAAAACAGAAACACCAAAGGACAACCCAGCGATGTCAACTGCTAGAGAGCACAATGAGCAAAGGCGGTATTTAAGATACTTGGGGATTCACCCTGGTTGTATATTAAAGAAAGATCGGCGATCAGTTTGCGATATGGCTCAGACAATTTGCATAAAAACATAGCCCATGGGCAATGAATTCATTTTTGACACTGAGATGTGGGGTAGCAATCCATGACTAAAAAGATAAGTATAAACGCTGTAACACTTGTTGGGAAAGTGAGATAATTCTTAAAGTTAAAATGAGTGCGCCCCGATTTCGGATTCTAAGTTCTGTTGCTCTAAGGTGCCACGTGGTGATGACCCTGCCTGGTTCTGCCACCTCGTGCGCTGGTACCTGCTGAACAGCTCGTAAATGTCTTCACCCGCTCACTCCGGGAAGAGATGTCTGTGCATATCAAAGCATCATGGTACACACCTTCAGCATATGCAAATTTACTTTTCAATTATACTTCAGTAAAGCTGGGAGAATGACAGGAAAAAATGAGCGAGCCTGTTTTCTCGGTACGTTTGCTCCTGGAAATTCATCTGTGTTACATCCGAGCCGCACAGCATAGCTCACCAGCCAGCTTTTATCATGAATCCACAGGGCGGTGAAGGCCAGGCTCATTTACTTTCCATATTGCTTGTCTGACACGTCCTTCCCTAAGTCTGGCGTGGTGAGATAGAGCTGAAATAGCTTTATCTCAGACACATATTTCAGCTACAAAATTCAGGTGTCACCAAAAATAGAGATAGAATGTTAATAAACATGTACGCTGAAAAGAGAGAATAGGAAATAGAACAAGGAATTAGATCGATGCATTAAATAAAAGAATTAAGTTACAGAGCGTTACTGTGAAAAAATCCTTTTATTTCCAATGTAATCCAATTATTTGTTTCCATTATGTAATTTTATAGCATCGTATGGCTTCTAGGGATGAGATAAATAGCAGCAGTAATAGCAGCAAAACAGATTCTTTCAGAAGTAATACAGGCGGAATAGGAGACGTGACTGAGCTTAAAAAAATATCGACAGTCATCACAAGGATAAATGAAGGAGCAACCAAGAAGGCCAGAACATCTACGTCTTTTATGAGAAAAATTCTTCTATTGTCAGATAAAAATCTCAGTAACCACCAGCAAATGGTTTCTCAGCAACTTTCTGACAAAGAGCTTTCAGGACATATATGACAAAGAGAAAGAATCAGAGGCAAAACCACAGAGTGTCAAGGAAATTAAGGGAAGTTAAAGGTCTTCTGTTGTGGTGCAGTTTATTGTTTCAAATAAATTCATGCTGGACTGGAAGCCAACATCCGGAACCTAAAACACCTGTCTGAATTCATTTGTTCTCCAGAGCCCGGGTAGACTGTTTTGGGGGGACAGCCTTCAGGGTCATTATCAGCCCTGTTCCCTTCACGTTTCCTGCCCCTGGGATGGAGGGGCGCAGCCGCTGGACCGTGCACGGGACCTTGCAGCAGGTGCAGCCTCGGCCCTATGGAAACGCAGCTCGTCCCAGAGGAAACGCACAAGGGTTACACAGAGACATAATAAACTGGCCCTCTCTCTCCTGCCCTCCCCCCCCCTCTCTCTCTCTCACACACACACACACACACACACACACACACGATGTTGCTTGCTTGCTCTTGCACCTTCTGAGACACACGCAAGGAACACTGACAACAGCTGTATGTGCCAACGAGGCAAAGGTCAGAAGCAGCAAAAATCACAACCTGGAAAGTGGGGAAGGAGAAGTAGAAGAGGAGGTTTTATAGAATTTGTCTTTTTTAAATTCTGTTTTATTGAGGCAACATAGGTTTACAACACTGTATGTGACTTAGGGGCACAGGTCCCCTAAAGAGCTCCTCAGATGAATGTTACCACAGCATTCGCATCACCCAGGCACCTCAGCACCCAGGCACTGAGCCCCTCCCCAGTGGTGCTCCCACCTTCAGCCCTCCCCTCCTGCTCTAGTCTCCTCAGAGAACTTGACTTTGAAGTGCACTGCAAAGTCCACCTCTCCCCAAGAGGATCTGCTTCCAGATGGGCTGCACAGGTAGTTCCCTCCCTGGGTCCCCCTGGGCCCCTCAATGCTAAATGATGGGCAAGAGGGAGCTCTGGCTATCGAGTTGGATAAGGTGTTCAAGGGCTGTGGAAGAAGGAGACCTCGAAGCTCTAGACACCCAGTTGCAGACACCAGCTTCTAGAGGACTCTGAGTGTGGGAACCCCGTGTTCCCCACATTCACCCAGGCTGAACACAACATCCTGCTTGTCCTGAAGAAGATGCCTGACTCTGCTCATCACACATGGGTCTGTGGGCTCCGCCCTTGGCAGCCGAGACCCGAGAGTAAGTCACAGCAGCAGGCTGACTGGGAATCAGACAGGCGCCTGGAGGATACAGCTAGCTCATTGGACAGTTTCCATGTGAGGATAAGGAGTGACATCAGTTACAGTGACGTGTGCACTTTGCACCTGGATCTCTGCCTGTGGAGCAAGCACCTCCCAAGGGGCTGGTCCACCTGGACTGAGCCACCAGTATCAGACGCCATCCAGAGGAGGATAATTATCATGGAAATTACTGGAAACAGCCCAGAAGAGGTGGACAGACACACCCAGCATTCAGATGTTTCCCACAAAAGTCTGAGAGGGAAGAAAAGGCAAATGTGCGTGGACTCCAACCAACTCTGGGGAGTAAGACTTTCTCCACCACCTGGCTTTCCAGAGACTGAGGTCCCAAGCCATGAGACAACCTCATGGGACATTGATCTGTGGTGAGAATGGGGACGAGGGCCTTGAGGGCCAGGTCTTTAATCACCTGTGCAAAGAAGCACTCTGTGGGAGAGCTGAATGGACCTCTGCTGGAGAAAGGAAAACACAGAAGAGGCAAAAAAAAGTGGAACCTGAAGATAATAACATGTAGAGATAAGGGGAATCCAAGTCCCAGGAGCCCCCAGAGGCAGTCAAGACAGTGGGGTGGGGCCACAGAAGATGAGTTCAGGATCACCAAGTGCTTCTCGAAAGGACTAGAAAGTACAAAGGGAAACAAACTGAGCAACTGAACTGTATTAGAATTAGAGCTTCTGTTCCTCAGAAGATGTGGCTAAGGGAGTAAGAAGACAAGTCATAAAACAGGTGATAAATGCAGTAAATAGATCTAGCAAAGGATCTGTGTGCCAAAATATAAAGAATTCAGGTAAGTCGCTAAGAAAAAATGTCAGTACAAAACAGACACTTCACAAAATGCAAATAGCCAATAAACTTGAAAAAGTCCTCACTGCATGAGTCACCAAGAAAATATGCTACACACGCCATGGCTGCCGGGAATGTCACAACTAAAAGACATCAAAGTCAAACATTGGGGAGAACATGAAGACAAGTGAAATCCTCATAAATGGTGAGTGTATTCATTGGTACAATCAGTGTAAAAGTTGTTGCTGTTGTTTTTCTGATCTAGAACGTCCACTCCTACAAATATTCTCAATAAAAAATGCTTATCTTTGTTCCCAGAATTACTTGCATAAGAATGGTAACAGAAACACTATTTGTAATCCACTAACATGTCAAAAAGCCATGAAAGAATAGATAAAAAATGATCATAACGTCACATAAAAAAATACTTTAAGTCAACAGGAATGAATGAACTGCTGATACACAATGGCATAAAGGAATCTCACAAATATTTAGCAAAAGAAACTAAACAAAGTGCATGTCTCATGAATCCATCCGCTGGAAGTTTATGAAGAGGTAAATAAAGTGTGGGGGTCAGTTGTCAAAGGACGGGAGGCGGGTTGGGGGAGACACAGCTTGAGACCCAGGGTGCGCGCCAGGGACAGCCATGTTTATCTACAAGTGTTTATTTTGCAAAAATACACTGGACTTTATGACTTGTGCACTTTTCTGCAAGCATTTTATATGTCAGTTTAAAAGCTTACCTCCAAAAGATTTAAATGTTTACCAATAAAAATAGGAATACATGGGTGTCAAATGAAATGCATCTCCATGATCTAAGACCAGTTCGTGTGTATCTTAGAAGGATTAGGCCAGAGGCCTACAAATACATCCAGAAAGTTGTGATCAAACTAGTGAAGAAACCATTGTAATCTTTGGAGATGGGTGTCTTTCCAACACATGATACTAAAAACTAATAAAGAGAAGCACGGTACTGCCTTTCCTGTGTGATTATATTGCAAGGTAATAAAACACTTGATGAGAGAATCGTCTCCTTAGTTGAAGTATTCCAGGTAATAAATGCAAAAGAAATAAGAGAATTCAAAAGCCACCACACTGCAGCCCCAAGTGAAATATATTATGCACCTGCTGATACAAGCAGCATAGAAACGAACCCTGAGCTGACCAGGTATCTGGCTCTCAATGCCAGTTTATGAGAAATGGGGTAAAGGAAGACATAAAATGGATCCCGAGGATGTAATCTGTCACGTTTAGAATGTGGAAAATTTACAAGACAAAAAACCTGATTTCTTAAAAAAAAAAAATAAATACCGTAGGAAAAAAGCAAAGGGGTGGGCCTGGGGTTGACTGTGACAGACTGAAGCTGAAGAGACTTAGTAGTCAAATCAGTGTGTGGACGTACTGGATTTGGATCTTGATTCAAACAAGCCAACTAGGAACAGACATTTTTAGATAATATAGGATATTTTAAATGCAGTGGATATTAGATGTTATTAAAGAGTTGCCATTAATGCAGTGGCATGTTTTTAGATAATCATACCCTGTTAAAGATATAAAATTATCAGTGGAAGAAATGATATAATGTCTGGTATTTGCTTCAAAAAACACCAGCAGAAGGAGGAGGTAGCAATTTGTGAAAAAAAGATTGATCAGTTGTTGATAACTGGTCCTCTCATGTAGACACAGTGGTTCACTTTGGATGATGTTTCAACTTCCTATATAAGACTTACCCCATCTTGAGCTTTCACCAGGAGATCATAGGTGGCAGGGTCTCTTTCCCTGTCGATGTCTTGAGAAACACAGATTCGCCCATCGTGCCGGTCAATCTGGAATGCCTGCGGAGCTTCATTGCTCTGGAATCCATCGTAGAGAAAATACTCAACAAAGCCATAGGGCCCTGCATCCGCATCAGAAGCTTTCACCTATGAGACAGGAGGACGACCAGTGAGTAAAGAGCAAGGCTACACCCTCAGGCTTGCATGAATCACCATCACCACCGCACAGCCAGAGTTGGCCATTGGTGCTCTATCTCTATCTCTCTTACCCTCACTGACAGCGCATCCTCAAACTCCTCTTGTGTTCTTTTCAGTCTCTTTTCTCCTGTCCTATATTTTCATGCCAATTCTGAAAACCTGAGTTACCTGGGTTCCGTTCAGTCCTTTTGCTTCCTTATCTCTCTTACCATACCTAAGTGATGTTGACCAATCTCAGAGGCTTAAAATCATCCGTGTGTTCAATGGAATACTATTCAGCTATCAAAAAGACAAACTCATCCGGGACTATGGTAATGGCACATGGGTGAAGTGGTGGTGAGAAGTCCATGGGGATTATAATCAAGATGAAAAATGTACAAAATGAAGAAACATGTTTTTTTATGTATGTATATGTAAAGATAACTTGTAGCAACATGGATGGAACTAAAGGGCTAATGCTCAGTGAAATAAGTCAGAAGTAAGAATTAAAAGTAACAGATGG